ATATTTTCTTTGCTGTTCCCAAGCAAAGAAAATATTCCTTTCACTTGCTATTATTACTACTATAGTACAATATGCTGTTATCATAATTTTTGTCATGCTCCTAGTCCCCTTCAGGATTTATTTGAAACTGTAGAATAATTGGAATTAGCCTTTTTCCCAGCAAACTACTAGTTGGGAAAAGTGAAACACAGAATTTGAGGTAATATGAAATAATGATCTTTTGCTAGTTTTAGCAAAAATCAACTTTTCTTCTAAAACTCTGAAACAGTACGAACAGGAAAAGCAGAAATATACTAACCCCCTAGGGATATGAAATTGACAGAGCTGTTGTCGTGCAGCCCAAATGGTTATTTGGTATTTTGGTTCTTAACATGTTTTTTCTGTTAAAAAGAAAAATTAGTTGTGTCAGACATTTTTGGTGTGATCTGGCTTATTTACCAAAAGGCAGTAAAAAGTTAAGTCCTGTTTTCCTAGAATAGATTATCAGCTCTCAAAGATTAGACAAAGTTGATTATCTTTGACTACAAAAAAGGGTCAAAGTAAGTTTACCTTCACACCTTTGGTTTTTTTTAAAGTAAGTTTGCCCTTACATTTTTTTCTGGTGATTCAAGGTAATCTTTATACCCGCATTTGAAATGTGCTTTCTGATATCCTATGAATATGGCCACACAGGAAGGAGAATTTGAGAGAGGAAAGCCAGAAGCATGAGGGGGAATTCATGGTACCATTAGTGCTGAAAACGATAGTTCAGAAATTATATCTCAGATGCCAAACCAATGTGATTGGCTGCCAAATTATAGATTTTTTTTAAATGACTGTACACAATTTTTGTCTGCATTTTGAAATTTGAACTCTTGGTGTTACTTCTCCTTTCCACGATATGTATATATATTTACATATGTGTGCATATATAGCAATTAGATTAGCCACTTCTTCCAGATTTCTTCACAAAGAAGATACGTAACTCCAGCTTTCCTTTGCTGTAGTGGTTTTCACTTCTAAGTCTTATTTTGCAATCAATCATTCCCCAGTTCTGCCCCCAAAAAGCCAGTCTCCCATCCTTCCCATCCTTCCTGCGCTCCTCACTTCTGCAGGGTGAGGTTTCAAGCATTGAGGAAGGAGGACAGAAGAGCAGAAAGATTTGGGATGCTGCCATGTGTTCTTTCTGTTGCCCTTTTCCTAACCTCCTGAAAAAAAAGGCAAGGAAAACTCAGCCTCTTGTTGCAGTTTGGAGTTGCTATTCTCTTTCATAAGGTGGGTAAGTGAAGCAGGCAGTGAGTCAAAGGGGTTTCCTTTTAAGACGGGACTGAAATCCATGAGAGACCTGGCATTTTTCTTGTCATCAGCACGCTGGCTCCAGTCTTGGACCAAATTTCCTGCTCTCCCTTCTCCCCTTAGGAAGGGGAGCTGGCTACTTAGCTACAGAGGGCTCTGTGAAGTGGATGCAGGTGACAACTCTTGGAGACATCAAGCAGTGAAGGTGGGAGAAGCCCACTGAGAGATTCCTGTATAAGCACCATGTCCGATATTGCTGGGCCAGTCATGTACTTCCATGAGCTTCCTGAGACTGTGAGTGTGAAATCAAATGAAAGACTGCCAGCCTAAAAGAACAGCAGCCAAGATAATTCTGAGGTGATGAGTCTTTCAAATTGCCATGGAAAAAGGGGAGCACCATCAAAAAGCCATAGGTCAGGCAGAGCTTTGAATGGTAATTCTCTTCTTGCTTTCCTAGTTTCCAGTCAGCTTCAACAGTGACAACTTGCTATCACAGTTATAATACCTGTCTCCACTGTCTTGGATTGCAATGGCAGTTCTGCTTGGTGGGAAGTTTAACAAAAAAGGATTTCTGTACCACCCAGTTCTTGGTATTTTCTTCACCTACAAAAATAACCCCTTCGGCCCCTTGATGCCCAGACAATTCAGCGTAGCCAGTTCTTTAATCGAGGACTTTCAAAGCACTTGAAATTCTAGGTGAAGAAACACCTTTTATATATCCTTGCTAGAGAGACATAAAAGGTTTTGCCACCACAGCAAAGATTCATCTACAGGTGGCCAACCATGCTAAAATAAACTATCTGGTTATAAATACTCTATAAATACTTTATTTATACTATATAAATATACTATTACTATTAGCTTTCCCCTTCCCTTCCTTTTCCACACATTGCTTAGATTGTGCATGTAGTTTACATTTGGGCCAGCTCCAGTCAACAAATACTAGAGTAAAATCTTTTTTCCATGTAGCTGTGACCAGTACTGATTATTAGCAAAACCCCTATATGTGTGCCATTTTAACTAATCTCATCAAAACAGGTAAGCTTTGGTAACTTTGTCATCTATCTTGCTTACTACCAAATCTACTCATTCCCCAGCAGGACACCTTTTCCTAGCTACTGTTGGAAAGGGAGAGGCTACTCGATGACTCCAGAAACACTCCTGCTCTGATTTTGGATCCAGCAGGCATAGGGAAGGGCACCTTTCTGCAAATCTGGCTGGTTCCTGATTGCATCGGCTCCAGGTCTTGGCCACAATTCTTGATGGTAGTTTCCGAGTGGTTACAAGCTGGTCCTGACTGTTTCAGGAACAAAATTACATTTGCAGTTCCCCAGTAACACACTGTGATTTGTTCAGGGACAAATCTGGACTGAGACAAGTCCAAGTTTCTCTTTTGTTAGGCAGAAGAGAAGTAAAAGTAGATAACTATAGTCACCCATATGAGTAAGCCAGGAATTCATGAAATGATTCATAAATCATTATAAAGACCACTAAAATCTACTAAAAAGGAGTCCTGTCTGGCTATACAAAGTAGTGCATTATTATAGGGAGGGTTTTTTGGATGTTAAATCAAATGTGAAATCTGTAAAACTGTGCTTTTCACTTTGAGTTTTGAAAAGGATTTTTTCCCTGTTGTTGGCTGCCGGTTAAAACCATTTTTCAGAGATTAATTTTCACAGATTAATTTTGAAAACAGAGAGGATGATAACCCATGATTTTTTAAATAATAGTAGTAATAAAAGACTGCATTGCTCTTAATCCCTGGCAGCAAATAGCAGTCTTTCTGTGTGAGTGCTGTACAAAAAACTAACTCCAGTCCTTACTCAGGAGACATATAACCAGGTAGTTGTAGCACTTTTTTAAAACCTCTGATATTTTTATCACAATATAGCTACTGATTTCTATTTTTTTAGAAATTATTCACTAGCATTATTGTGAAACACATGCATGCTTTATTCTCTTCCTCCCCAGTATGTCTTTAAGTCTACACTGCATCAGTTATCTGGAGCAATGAAATATTTGACATATTAAAGACTCAGTGACTCAGTAGTGACATCTTTATTTCCTCCATCTGTATAGCATATTTGAAGTAATAGATGTGTTTATGAAGTTAATACCAAATCAGCACAAAGACCATCCAAACCCTATCTAATATGCCTAAAAATGCGATTCTCAAAGAAAACTGAATAGGCAGGAAATCATCCGAAGTACATCTTGACACTTGCTATACTCCAAATGTAAATTATGGATGTATCAGAAAAGTAGTAAATAGGTTTCAAATTAAGTCAAAATCACACAGATAATGTGTGGCCTGTACTGATTCTGAGCTGCAGCATAAAAGATCTTGGATGTCTTGGATTTAAATGCAGTTATAACCTGTATGATGACCCTGTCCAGAAGTGTTCTGTAGTGCTTACACTTCTGCAGGAAAAACATTCTTTATTGCTAGGTTAAAAAAAAGTCATCTAGTGTATTGAGGTCCAGTCTCAGGAGAACAGGGACCAGATCCACACTTTAGGATTCTGGCAGACTGTGTTGACTGCAAGCACTATTCCCTCCTAGCAGCAGCTACCGAGCACACCCACCACAGAGAAGGGTAGGTGGGTGCTCTTGCTCGGCACAGACTTGCAGCTTGCTTTTAGGAGTGGAGAGAGAGGCTGATCTGTGACAGAAATACCACATCAGTTTTCACTCACCCTCTTGCAGTAATATCCTGGGTCTTTTTTGTTGGCCTTTCTGGCTCTCCTCTCATGGATGAGAAAGTGTCCCTGAGCTATTCCTAAGCCCAGGCTGAGCTTTTGTTTACTAATCAGATCCCATTGGTCTAGTGGGTAGTTTGGTCATCGGGGGCATGGACCAGAGCTCTTATAACCTCAGCTTTCCATCTGCGAAGATGACTGTAGCACCTATTTGTAATGTACTTTGAGGTATGCAATATTAAGGAAATTTAGAAAAGAGTTAAACTTATAAAGTCTGTAAAACCCTTGTGTAAAATCCTCAAAGGAATGTGTATCCTTGTAGTGCCAGTAGTGACAGAGCTGTGCAAAACATACCACTAAAGTGACAAACCTCTGTGGCAGCTGCACCACCAGGTTCGATCTGAATGGTTCTCTTCCTCTGCCAGGCTTTTAAGTTTATACCTTGAGTCCCGATCAACATTTTGATGTGGTCAGGCTCTGCCCAACTGGAAGCGATTTAACACTTGCCTTTATATGCATTATATTGACTTCAGATTGTTTATTTTCAAATAGCTCTATGTAACATACAAAAATTTCTAGAACTTGAAACCTGAACCTGGACCTGAACCTAATATCTAACTCCTCAGTGTCCACTGACCAGAACTGACCGCTCACTTCCAGTGAGGAAGGACAGCTATTTATTGACAGATACAATTGATACAAAGCCTTACAATGAGGCAGCTTGCAATGCCTCAGAAATCAGGTCCCCCACGAGGTATCTCCTCCCATTAAGACTTAAACCCACCCACAGACGTTAAAAGGATTTTTCCATGATAAGGGTGCAATTCAGCCTTTTAATTTTCCAGTTGTCAAATCTAATGGTATGTCACCATTTGAAAATATATCTTCTCTGTATCTGGGCTGCACACTGTTTTTTTCGAAGTCTGTATCTATGCAAACTGCTAAACTTTATAGTGGTCTAAGTAGAAACAATCTTTAGCTCTTATCTATTGGGGATTTTACAGTTTTGTGTTTCTGATCTCCTAGGTTTGTCGGTCCAGCTCTTTCTCCTCACCACATCAGCCCCCAGAGAATTTCAGTTCCGCATCACATGATGCAGAGACGGACTCCACAATCTCCCCACCTTCAGCAGCCTGCAGGAATGCCTCTAAAGACATACCAGCCAGCAGCAAACCCTTCTTTTCAACCAAATAGTCTGCACATCCAAGGTAAGAAGGAATAATCCTCATCGCTGATGTTAGTTGTTTGTCACTCCTGCTTGGCTTCAAATTAAGTGCTTCAGGGGCTGTCGCTGGTATTTTTAAGGCACCTTTCCTTTTGAAATACTCTGGGAAGTAGCCTTCAGGACCCTGCCTTCAGACTTCCTTAAAATTCTTAGCTTAGCTAATTGTTATTCATCTTACTATGGAGTTACAGGTTTCTCTTCAGACTCATTTGCAGAGCTGTTGTTGAATAGAACTGCAAATAATTCTGTGATGGCCTCTGCTTTTAGTTTTCTAGTGTTATGCTTCTAATCCCTCCTGACTTTACACATAAAGTGTTACCAGGTTTTCAAGAGGTGGAATATTTTTCTCCCTTGCACTTGTGGAGTGATGGAGACCTCTTCTTTTATTAGCATACATGTCTCTTGCAGCTGTGTTCCCACTTGCACTGTGTAAACAGCTTCTACAAGACTTCTCTCCCTCTTTGTTCAATCAAGTATAAACTTCTGTAGCCAAGAAGAAAATTAACAGCGGCTGAAAACAATGTTGGGTTGTTTGGGGTTTTTTTTCTAGCTGGTATGGAGTCTGAATGGTAATTACTGTAACATTTCAGAAATGCGTTGACAGCAGTAATGCTGTTTCCTCTCAACTGTTCAAATATATGGTTTGCCATATTTACGTACACAAGGTACATAGCACACTGGACTTTTATAAGCCTTGACATTCTGCTTTTTGATCAGGCTTCCTGAGAATTATCACAGTAGATATCATAGGAAACATCTTGAGAAAACCAAGGCTTCTTTTATTTTTTTCCACTTATGGAAGCAGTCTCTCTAGGCAAAGGGATAAGACAGGACACTGAGGCATCTCCCAGAGTTCACAAGTGTGAAGGGGAGAATGGAAGGTGCCAGTCCAGTTTTGTTATTATCGTACTAGACCACACATGAGCAGGATCTGAGCCAGGTGCTTTTCTTCCAGGAACTGGTAATCCTGTACAGCACTGGTTAGTACTAGAACATGAAATTTACCAATGGATATAAACAGTTATTGTTGGCTTTCTCTATTCTTTGATTAAAGTTTCACTAATAATCTAGGGCCAACAGAGTACAGGATGAAATTTATTAATATACTGTTCATTGTCATATGACATATGTGAAGACATGCCAGAGCAGGTCCAATAAATTCCTAGCGTATGGGGCACGAAGGGATCAGGTTAGCCTTCTATTTTCACAGTACAGTACATTTTACTCAATTCCCTTTTTTGCTGAATATTTGGCAAGAACTTGTTTTCCGGAAAGCCATCCAGACGTTAAGGTCTGTCTTCCTGCCTGGAACAAAAATTGTCTTTGAGTGCATAGATGGCTTTTCCTCTCATGGTCATGGGAGCTTCAGTAATTGTAGAAGCTGGGATCACAACCAGTTGCTCCAAAGTTGAACAGTTTCCAAAGAATCCTGCCTCCCAGAAGCTCACAGATCACCTTGGATTAGTTGCTACTCCACACAGGACTTGCACTGGCTGGTGCAGCTAGCTCCATATCTGCCTGGGCATCTTCTCTTTAGGGCAGGCCAGAGCGATGCTACTGTGTTCCCATCTCCCCCTCTTACAGTCCAAAGAGGATTTAAAAGGACAAAAGACATGGGTCATTAAAACCATTATAAGAAGAAGGCCCAGTAGAGACCCTCATCTGGGCGAATGTCATATATGGACGGAAGCCCCATTCCACATGCAGATTTGAGATAGAGCTTAATACTGTCTTCTGAGTGGATCAAAAAATGGATAACCTCAGGGGCTTGGACCTTAAACCCATACCTTACTTAATCCCACATTAGCATTACTGGGTTTGCCTCCCTGTCCTGGGAAAACCTATGTTGAAAATAGTCATTGCTGACAGGAGTTATATACACATAGATAGCAACTCAAAGTTGCAGTTGTAAAGATCTCTGCACTTAAAACTGGTAGGAAGACAATGTGGGCTGAACTCTAATTTTTTTTTTTTTTAGTATTGAAAGACATAATACATTGTAATACAATAGCCACATTTGAGTATTAAATGTTCTTTCAAAGATTAAGTAGCCTATTGTCGCTATAAGAAGTATTTTGTCAGAATGTACTCACTCCAGCTTAAGCACAGCTGTCTCACTCCTATGTGCTACACTGAAAGCTTTGTTTGTCCTGTGTGCCTAAAAGGCTTGCCTAAACTCTCCCTCTCAAAAGCAAATGTTTCAAGAATTCATAGTCATGTTTTCCCAGCAGCAATACAAAGATTGCCATCTTCCTTGGTCACATCATTATAATGTAGAAGAACACCATGGAGTTATCTCACCAGCCTGGACTATTTGGTGTATAAGAAGTGTCTGTGGGAAGCTCTGTTAGTTTCTGTCTCCTGCAGTTCATAACCTGCCTTTTCATGATTTAAAGTGCTGTAGCTATAGCCACTTCAGCTCAGTCTGCTGCCAAACAATGGTGACATTTTTGTCTCAATGTGTAGTCTTAAACTTGTCAACTCCATTTAAATTGGCTGTACTGAGGAAGAAAGAGTTTCATTGCCCAAAAGCTTTTTGAAGAAAACAAGTTCTAAACAGACTCCCTTACTGAAAGCCTGAGCATCTTAAAAGCTCATGGAGATCTCAGAGCACTACCCTTTAGAAAGAAATGATGTGGGAGATCCAAGACTGACAAGCCTCTTATATCTAATAGCTACTTGTATTGTGAAACTGCTTTGTCTTGGAAGAACATTGTTGGCAGTTCAGATTTCACTATTTGTTCTGAGGGATTTTCAGCATCACGTATACAGTAATGTCAGAGAGGGCTTGGTAAATATTATATAATAAATATCAAATAATACCTTGCCTTGTTTAATATTATATAATAGACTAAATATTCCCTTTCCTTCCTCTTGTGAAATTCACAATTTCCTTTGCTGCATGGAAGTGATGATGTTAGACGACTCACTAAGCTGCAGAAGTGAAGCTCTTCTTTTCCTTTCATTAGATTGTAGTATCTTTTATTGGATTACCACAGGCAGTAAATCTGAAACTATCCTGGACTGGAGACTGAGTGATGACTTCCCAGCTTGACGCCATTGTATGCCATTGTACTATGTGTTTGTAGACAGAATAGAAGGCAGTACAGGCCCTGGAAATCTGCAAAAATTGGCGCAGGACCTGTATTGTACTGGTGAGTCTTTTCAGCCAAAAACAACTACAGGGGCCTCAGTAGAGGTACCTGAAGACACAGGCATCTGCAGCACACAGGCAGCTGCAAGAATAAGGTATTGCTCGGAGACAAGTCAGAAGAGATGCATGAGGTAGGAAAGAAAAGAACAGCAATAGAAACTCCTCCTTCACAGTGAGCAAGCTTCTTGTGCTTATAGTATAGAGTGAGGTAAAGCTCCTTTGGGCATGGACATAGCTGACTTGATTTTGGATGCTTCTGATACTGTGAACATTTTTACACTAGAAATCTGACTGTCCTTTAAAACTGTGCCTGTAACTCATGTCATATGTGTTTGTGAGCTAAGCTGATGACCAGTGCTGGCTGAGTAATGGAAGAAATAAAAAGTCATGCAAAATATTCAGTAAAAAAAAAAAGTTGCCATTTCTTTAAATTGTTAGCCAATATAAGTTAGCTATATTAGTGTATCTGTACAGGCAGCTCTACTAGTAACGGTTATCTTTTAATTACAAATAATCAGATTTAAATAAATAGAAACATTTCTAGTTTTTCACATTTGCAGGTCAGTCTGGCAGTACAATATGTGACTCATATCTCTGTCTTACTCTTTCTTTTCCTTTTGTTCTTCACACTCAGATGGTACCAAATGATTACTTGATGTTTGTGTGATTCACCTAGTGGACACTGTAGAAATATACTGCAGAAGAGCACTATTTTGAAGTAGTTCAGGCCAAAGGCAGCTGGAATTTTTACATACCATAGCAGTAAAGACTACTCACCCATGATGTGTATTTCTTAATGGCAATTATAATGATTTTCTTGAGAAAATATTCTCTCTCTGTGGTGCCAGGTAGAGAGCTGACTGAGGGCGAAATAAGTGTCCATCTGAAACTTCCTACCTTATGGAAATTATAACTGTGGCAGTCATTCATTACATATCTGTAATCAAATCTTTGGCCACATCAGTTCAATGGGATCAGGACTCTATCACAAACTTACATGGACCACGATTTCAGCTGTGAATTTGAGATGGGCTGTGTATCTGGGATTTTCAGATGCTCAGCATCTCTCAGCACGAGGCTCTGTATGTGATAAAGAACAAGAGCTTCATGCTTTTAGAAGAGATTCTTGCAGTATACAGCTATTTTATCATATTTAAAAATATTTCAGTTTCCTCAGGAAATAATGCTATCATGCCAGAAAAATAACTGTTTATTCGGTATCTTGACATCATGGATCTTGGCTATAGTGTACTGATTCAAAGAAACACAATTGACGTAACCGTGTGCGTGTGTGTGTTTTAAATAGTTTAGTAAGAGAGCAACTGATACAGTCCAGAGTTGCAGTCCTGAGAAGAAATGTTCAGTTGCTGGAACTTCATTAGCCAAACTGTTTGCCTTTTTTGTTTTTCCAGTGCTGCATGAAAACACAGAAAACTGATGCTACAGGTAGTTCTTGTAACAGATAATCTTGAACAAGAGGCCAGCTATGGTCAGGGTCTAGGGCCTGAATTGCATATGGTTTCATGTCATCCTACATTCAGCAGTAGTATAGATTATCTTGGGCATGGCACCACGTGAATAAAGGGAAGAGCTCCTGGTACCAAATTAGGAGATTTTGCTGTATCATGTTTGGGCTCTAATTCAAAGACCTCTATACTGTGACCTGATGCACTGTAGATGTGGAGAAAGATACTTCAAAAGTACTAAATAACTGAGGGGAAGAGAACGATGTATACTCTGTTCTGCTCTTTCCTGTTTATGGCTCTCCATTTTGTAAGATGGATATTTATGACACTGAATCATGAAAAGAACGTGTATGTAGGAAAGTTGAATTATTTTTCCGTGCTCTCTTTCCATGTTAAAAAGGGTTTATCAGTACTAAATAACTGAGGGGAAGAGAACGATGTATACTCTGTTCTGCTCTTTCCTGTTTATGGCTCTCCATTTTGTAAGATGGATATTTATGACACTGAATCATGAAAAGAACGTGTATGTAGGAAAGTTGAATTATTTTTCCGTGCTCTCTTTCCATGTTAAAAATTATTTGGGGGTTTATCAGTTAATGAAAGTGCTTTGTGCACTTCCCTGGTTCTTTCTGCAGTATACCGGTTAATGTACCAATGGGTCAAAGCTTGTAAAACTTTGCTAGACAATATTCTTTTGCTTAAGTAGGGAATGAGCAAACACAGAGGATGTGACTCACAATAGCTCAACCCCAAGGTAAGTAGTTTTTCTGCCAGACTTCAGCTAGCAATAGTCAAAGTTACTGCCAGATTGTTCTGCATTGGGAAAAGGACGCTGTGAGAAAGGCACAAATAGAGAATAAGCACAGAGCAATGTGAAAGGACATTTCAGCATGTGTCCTGAAGGGTCTTGCCAGCTGGCTCAGACCACTATAGATTGAAATGGTTGTTTCTGGTAACTAGTCTGACTCAACAGTAAACTTTCACAGTGTGTCCTATTGCTGGATGAGAGAAAAGTTGATTTTAAAAGCATTTTTAAAGGAGGCAAAAACTATCAATAGCTATGTAGCTTCTAAGCCAAGTTTTGGATGGCTATTGTTTTTTCTTTCATTTTATTTTATTTTACTACAGTTGATTCTTAAATGTCAGGACTGAACATTTAAGGATTGACGGGTTGTAAATTCCTAACATGCTTTGCAGGCTGACTCAGTTTTGTTGCAGTTAAACTTTAAAAGAAAAACAGGATTGAAATGGTCATCTTACAGCTAGGGCTGCAAAGTGCCCGCAGCCCCTGCAAAAGACAATGAAGAGTCTATGAGTGTTCAGCCTCTCTAGAGTTCTGCAAATTGTGCCACTTGTGGAAGAGGAACTGTGCTTCTACTCTTTATTTTTATTTCTTTTTTTTTCTTTTTTTTTTTTTTTGCTTCCTTTATATGAAGTCAAAATACTCTTTTTTCATTCAGGTTTTCAGACACAATACTGACAATTGTTTCAATGTTCTTTCATGTAACTATTTGCCTGCTCTAAACTCGTTATGTATGTGTAAATTAGACATTTGTCTCACTGTGTGTACACAGAAGTATCTTGCAAGACTACTAAATAAAATGCAAAGACTATGTTTCACTCACCATTGTTACCTAGACCTCCCCATAAGGTCTCTTCTGAGTTCCCAGGTGCAGGTTCAGACTATCTTTTCCTGTCCATAGTCCTGGCCTATTCTGATGCTTTTAAATATGGAGTTTTCTGTTTCAATTCAAGCACATCTTATGCATGCCAACTTTTGTATGTTTCCTCATGGAGACCACAAAAATTGGTTTCAAAGGAAAAACGGTTAGAATCATAAAACTCCTAAATCATGCATCCTTCCTCCCGCTTAGCAGAAAATTAGTTATATCACATAAAGTGATACAGCATGTTTTCCACTGCATCCTTCTCCTTTCTCCATCTCTAATATTTATGAAATACATTGTCTGTGCATAAAAACTCAGTGCAGCTTTAGCAAACAACAGTCCCATGTGCACACTTCCATAGGAAAGTTAATGTAAATACACCTAGCTCCTATTCACAATTCAGAAAACGTTTGCCAAGTGCCTTATGTTCATAACATGTTTCTACGTAAAATCCTGTAAAAGGATTTGAGGTTGAAAGGTTTGTTTGGGTTGGGGTGTGGAATTGCACCAATATAAAATTTTTATTTTTAAAATACTTCTTATTCGTAAGTCAGAACTAGATGACCCATGCGAGGCATTTCTGATTACTAGTAATGAACGAATAGGCCAATAGTTATGTTCAGGTGACATAAAATACCCAAGATATTTAGACATGTCCCTCTCAAATATTGACAGGTGTGATTCCATGTTTCATGCTTTTCATAAAAGGATCTTCTCTGCTTATAATCTCCTATCTTCTGGGATATCTCCTTTATCCTTTCTGCACTGTTAAATGTTACCCAAAGGCCTTTTGTCATATGCTGCTCACCTAAACATCCCATTACTTTTAGGGAGGGAGATGAGCTTTTAATCCTGTCAAGTAATTTGCTTACTGCTCATAGTTTGTCACTGCTTATGGACATCACTAGATCCCAGGCATGAAAGCTGAATGTCTGGTACAAATATGCTTTCCTAACTACATAGTATGGATGTACCAAGGCTAATTCCTGAACACGTGGAAGGATGAACTTGAGCTGGCTGACCCTGTAACTATCCAGATTAGGATTCCTTATTCCCTCCTAGTACTAAATGCTCTTTGAAGTCAAATCTGTGAACATTTATAATCACTGAAAGTAACAAGGTTTCCTCCTTTTTTATAATATCCAAAAGACAATAAACAGATGCCTAAGGAGAGAGGAGTCATTTAAGTTCTTGAATTGTAAGCCATTATCTGCAGTACGGAGTTTATATACAGAAGGTGCATTAAAAGATGTTTTTCAATCCCTCTTTTCCCCTTTTTTCCTTTTTTTCCGATGCTGATGTTTCGAGGGTTTAGGGAAGGTTTTGTTGTTGTTTCTTTTTATTGATCTTTCTACACTAAAAGGAAATTCAGCTGGAAGGACTTTGTCATATGGATGTTGGTTAACTAGACTGGCTAGAGGAGACAGCCCTGCACGTCAGCTTTTTCTGTTGACAGTAATGTCTCTGGAATAAACTTGAGACACAGGAAATTCCTTAAGATGCTTTCTGAGGTAGGGGGTAATTTTTCTGACAGTGGCTTTTTGGTATGACTAACCACAACATATTCTTCATCAAGAGAATAGCACACCAGCCCTTAGGCAATAAGCTGTTTGCTAATAGAATCTTCAGAGACTGTATCACTTCTGGGCCTATTTTTGGACAGTCAAGGCCTACAATTTTATGTAACACCTTAGAGGTAATGCACTGTCTTCTTCCTTTTTCCTTTATGCACGGAAGGAGAGTGGTGAGAGCAAGGAGCCACAGCACTGGCAGAGAAGAGCTTGATTCACAGTTTTTCTTAAAAGAAAAATATGTATATATTGTAATACTGAATTTATAATAGTTTCATTTCTGACATGTACTCTACGAACATATTATAGACAACAGAAATAAATGCATACTACAGTCTTTTACCTATAAAAGCCATCCTTCACACTCTGAGCAAAATTTCCAAAACTTACACTTAGCAGCAATTTTTTAAGGAGGAGAAAAGTCCTTGCTTCTATGAGAAAAATCTTCAGGCCAACCTAGTGCAGAACATCTGTCTGTGCCTCTTAGATTGCATACGTGTCCCTGTTTTACCAAGAAGCATGGTTTTGGTTATATAAATACATATTTTGGCATGGACTTCAATGTGAATTTACTCAGTGCTTATATGCCTCTCTCAAATATCACTTAAGGAAAAAAAAACAACTTAAAAACCAAAAACCCTGGTAGGGATCTTTTATGTCATGTGGCACAATGGTCTCGGTTCTCTTTCATGTGGACTCGTTGCTGCTGATGAGTGGATAAGACTCTCCCCCTGTATTTACAAACAGCAGGCCCCATGGATCATCAGCTAGCAGCCCTTCTGAGTCTCATATGCATGTCCCTACTATCAGCCAGCTGTCTGGGCATCAGTGACAGACCCTCAGATTTTATTCATACCTTACTTGGGTAATCTTCCTTTATTTTGAATTAAGCTTTTTCTTAGATTTTTCAGGAAGCAACCCAGCGTGAAATCTGGAGAGTACCAGTTCAGACAGCAGGACTGCAGAGTAAAGGAAGAAATTTCCTGAAAAATTTCAGCTTCTAGCCAGCCAATGCCTCTCACAAGTCATGCTGGAATCAGGATGTCCATGAAGTGGATTGTGTTCAGAATTAGTAGCAACTGGAGGAAGGCTTAGGGAACTTCGTATCAAAGCTGCTTTATTGGTGGAAAGTAATTGAAGTCCTGGTGCTACTGCAGTCGAGGTTTTTATCGTTCTCACAGCCACGGTTCCACATGCTATTCCTTGTATCTCTGTCCAGGTCTTTTACTGACCACTTTCTTCTCCTTGTTGTAGGTTTCTATGGGCAGCTTCAGACTTTCTGCCCTCCACATTATGCTGACACTCAGAAGAACATACAACATGGTGTTTCTTGCAATATGGTTCCTCCTTTTGAAGACTGCTTAGTTCCCACATCAGCGGGCCAGGCAGGGCTTGGCATTTTCCATCGAACTTTTTCAGCTCATTCTGGTATTACAGGTAAATGACAGCTGGGGACTTTGTGGATGATTCTGTACAGTTTGTGGACTTTGACAGATCTGCTTGAGCTGTGTATGTGACTGGGACCTGTCATGACAAACTTGACTCTTCACAAAGAGGAGATGATTTTCAGACCTTTGTGGAGTGGTTGACATTGGGACCCAGTCACCATGGATCACAGTAACATCTGGCCTGTGTGCGGAGTCCACACTGTTGAGGGCTTCTCAAGGTTCTAACCTCTGGGGGTCAGACAGTCACTAGCTCATGTATTTGCTTTGAAATACAGTCCATTCAGGCCTGTGTGATATTTGTGCAGCCACTCTGCTGTAAGTATTGTAGCAGGGACCTGAGATGATTCAAACCATTGATTTTGCTTTATGCATGTTTGATTTTTCTCAGTCTTGAATTTCATTTATTCACATTTCCATGACAAGAACTGCCTGGGTGCACACCACTTTTCTGTGCACACTTGACTTAGTCTCTGCCTAGCTGAAAAGTACATAAGGGGCTTGCATGTTGCTCTGGAAGGGTGAAAGTTACCTCTGTGCAGAGTATCAGCACAAGACAGTGGGCCTGATCTTAGGGCTTAAGCACAATTGATACCCAAGTCTTTTATTGTCCTTCCATACAGGATGATTTCACTTCACATTTATTGCGCTTTGAAATCTCTTTTATGTCTTGATCCTTCAGTAGTGCATTAAAAAGCCAATGCACCTGTAACTTCAAAGAGGCACCTCACAGTATGTAGAGATGTAAACCAAAAGATGGGAGTTTTTCTGCAGTTACTCTTGTGCTTACTACTGTCGCTTGTAGAAGTTAGTAATTTCTGTGCCAGGGTCTGCTTTACAGCAAATGAGTTCTACAATATTTTGTTGCCTCTTATCATATGTTGGGTATGATGAAATTTTATAAGGAAGCATGAAGTTTATTTTAAAAATTATCACAGTTTTAGCCATTAAATGGGCAAGTGTTAGTTGTGATGAAATCTGCTGTACTTCAGACTTGATTCTGACAGAACTGAAATTCCTCCCTTGGTAAGCAGTTATGTAATTATTAATTTCATACATATGTTGGCTTGTTTGTTTGTCTGTTTGGTTTAAAGCCATTTCCAGTTCTCTGCATAAGTATTAGGACATTCTCCATGATATAGTTATCCTAATTAATTAATTATTTTTGTATTTTTGCCAGTTTATGACTTTCCAGCAGGATCCACAGGTATCTTTGGTGATTCAGCTCGCAGCATGCCAGAGGATAGCAGTTTCCTACAAGTAAATGCAGTGGATCGTTGTTCTAGCCAGCTTTCTTCTGTCTACACTGAAGGCTAAAGTAATATAATTCTAGATACAAGAACTTGATTCCATTTCATCTTACCCTTCTGATATTTCTGTACAAAATTTTTCTCTCCATGAAACTGCCGTGTATGTATGGGGATATAGGTTGATATACATACATAATGGAGAGGAAGAAAGCAATCACCAAGCACTCATCATGTTATCAAGCAGTCAACTGAGAAGGAGAATGTTTGGAGAAAGCAAGCTTTGCCAAAACATTAGCAATTGTTTCTTTTCTTTTCATCTGTGGCACAGCAACTCTACTTTTTTCGTTCTTTCTTCTTTTTAATTTCTCAGAGGGAATTCACAGACTGAATAAGAAAACTGCTTGTTGGCTGTAATCCTTTCAAGCTGAATGGGTGAACTTACTGAAGAACACAGCTTTAGAAAACTCCTTTTTTAAAAAAAAAGGAACAGAAGTAAAACTGGAGCATACTACAAACATTTCAAAGGCACAGAGCTTTTTGCACAACGTGTTCACATGTGATGCTTCCAAAGTTAAACACACACCAGCATCAAAAAGGGAGAGAAATTAGACATATATCCTGGCACTACCTAATGGAGGCATTGGTGTGGCTTCTTTTTGGAGCCAAAGATCATTGGTACTGGATTTCTTACAGGCCTCGGTTTAGATGTCTTTTCCTTCCCTCTGTATTTTAAGCCATACAACATGGCCTTTGCTATTTTTCCAATATTCCTTCTGACCCAGTGCTTTATGCAATGAATAAGAAGGGTTAAATGCACTAGATGAGAAGGTACATGGACTTTGTCTATATTTAGCACAGCTGCTAGATAAAAATAAGTATGTTTTAACTTTCTGTTGATTTTTAATTATATTGTAGAGCTTTATTGCTGTATGTGCTATAGTACTCTGTAGAAAGGTTTGAAATACCCTGTAGAAAAGATATTCTTCCTTAAATTCCACAGATTTTTTTAAAAGCAATCTGTACTGATTCAATTGAATTTTTATTGCCCTAACATTTTTCATTCCCATAACACGTTTTCAGGAAGAAGAGCTACTCTTCAGTTTGCTACGTTCCCTCTGGTTATTTAGAGATGTAAAACTGAACTGGTTTGGTGGTTTTGATTTTTCTACTCAACATCAGGCTCTGGTCCTTGAATTTAGTCCAGGATGCAAGCAAATGAGGTTGCTCTTCATGAAAGCTACAAGTGTATGAGTTAAAAACAGTATTTTGCAGTGGAGATGTGTCATCGCTGTGATCCTATACACTTAGGGAGCAACTCTTATATTATGTAAGGCTGAGCTTTTAGGTTATTAATCCCTGTTCATCCATTTTGTGGACTTCTTACTGTGCAGTGTGCATCTTAATATTCTCATGACCTGATTTAATAAGAAGGACAAAAATCCAATGTTCATTCTTACAGGCTAGACCATAACTATGCTTCTGAAATCACTTGTCTAGAAAGATGAATTTTAAAAAATGTTTATACATACATTTTCTTATCCTGAGAAGCTTTTGAGAGTTGTTGAATGCAGTTTGGGTCAAATGCATAATTTAATTCACCATTATGTTGCATAGATGAATTTATGTCCAGGTGTTTTAGAAACACTGGCAATCTTTTGAGGTTTATATTGATGAAGTATATTCTTATATACAGGCATATGTGCATATATATTTAATGAAGAGATTTTCATCCAATAAATGCAGAGTATATATGGATAAACCATGCACATAAATGATGTACAGTAAGAAGTGATATGGCTTAAATACAGATAATTCTGTACTAAATTCTTCCCCCTTTCATTCTGCTTCTCACATCACAAGTGAATGTGTCCCTCTGCTTCAGCTTGCAATAGTAGGTCTAGTTGTTACTTACATGTGGTTTGCACTGGGTTAAATGACATTAGGCTTCCTTACACAGCTATACATACACAGACAAAAAGACAGTGCTTTTACATTAATGTGTGATCTGGCCCAGTGCATTGACAGCGAGTTTCGTTTTTTAATAAAGCTTTAATTTTCTGCTGTCTTAAAGCCCTTTCTGTGGTCACTGCACATGCATAACTTGGTTCAGCAGGAGTAATTAGGCACGCTGAACACTTCAATTTCAAATGTGTAGGACTATGTTTTGTTCCACTGAAGTCAGTAGGGGCAGGATCAGGCCCAGTGTGTACATATGCATGTTTATGTACATACATACTTTTGTATATATAAATCCTTCAAGGTTCTTTTAACCACATGGTTGTCCAGAATTTGTCAGTTGCTGTGTGCAAAACTGAAATATTGCCGCTGACTTCAGATCTGTACCACCTTGACTTTTAAATCTTTTGAAATATTTTTTCTAGTATCTGAATATACAAGCTATCCAGTAGAGAGGGGGCTTATACATCATGAAAGAACCTGACCAAAGGGAAGGTGGGAAGACAGAATTCAAAAAGGGTATTTGTAATTTGGGGGTTCATCAGTTGCATTTAAAAAAGGAAACTTTTGCAAGTCATTAATTCATTCTTTCCTATATATGTATCTATGATATATATATTTACAGCTTTCTATGGGCGTTAATCTTAAAAAGAAGGAGCTAGAGTACAGTCAAATTAAGCACATGAGAGTGGGCTACCAGTCTGTAAAGAGATACGCCTTTGTTTACTTCTGTATCAAAGACAAAGAGGATTCTTCATGATTTCGTTATTGTCTTTGGAGTCAGACTGACTTTGGGGGATCAATTTATATCACTGAGCGCAATTGTGTAAAAAAGAACCATTTTATCTCATGTATTTTGGGTATTTAAATAGGGAATCATGTTTGTCACGTTACAATGAAAAATGGTGCTTGTGAAAATACATAGCGTAACGCCAGTTACTGACTTGTATGCAAATACTTGTGCCTCAGTGATTTTTGTGTTGTTATTCTACCTGCTGGATTGTTAACTTTCTAAAGGGATTCATATCTAAGAGATGAAGTTATTTTAGACTATGGACATTAAACAATATTCTAATGAAATTATTTACAATCGTTCTTTTATACAATTCTCTTGTTTTCAGACTCAAATGGTCTATTTATAGCTGCATTAGAAATGGGTCTACACTGGAGTTTAAAATATAGTTTCAAAGCGCATGTGTACATGTGTGAGTGTATGCGAGTGCATGTGTGTATTTGGATCTCCCTTTCTATGTATATATATACATGTATATATACATACATACATATAGGCATCTTGGTTTACCAATACTGGATGCTGAAGTATTGCAGTGCTAGGGCCATCTGTCACATTGTATTTTGATTTCAGCCTTCTTTGAAGAGGTGTGAATGAGTATAAAAATTACATTTTAACTGTTTATTCCCTGTTTTCCCTGTGTAATTTTATAGCAGATTTTTTTAAACAGCACTTTTTTGTTCTTTATGTGAAATTTTGGGTTTGTTTTTTTTTTGGTTTTTTTTGTTGTTTTTTTATTTCCTAGGAACAGATAAAGCAAAAGAAAAAGACCACAATTTAAAATTAGCTGGGTGGGGGTTTATTTAAGAAAAAAATCCCTTTATTCTGTACAGAAAGCAGCATCTTGTGTAATATTTTTTACACAAAGCACTTTGGTGAGGAAAGAAAGTGGGAGCATGTTTTTCCTAAACCTTACAGAGTATTCTACATATTTATACATCCTTACATATACAGATATGAACTCCATTTGCCTTACTGTATATCCATCTAGCTGGTATTTGTTCTAAAGACTTATCTGTTGCATACCATGAAAAATAAATTTTCAAAATTCTACATATTTATACATCCTTACATATACAGATATGAACTCCATTTGCCTTACTGTATATCCATCTAGCTGGTATTTGTTCTAAAGACTTATCTGTTGCATACCATGAAAAATAAATTTTCAAAAGAATTAGTTACATTTTTTTCTCTACTAGTACGTATAACTTTGTGAAAGATATTCTTCCTTAAATTCCACAGATTTTTTTAAAAGCAATCTGTACTGATTCAATTGAATTTTTATTGCCCTAACATTTTTCATTCCCATAACACGTTTTCAGGAAGAAGAGCTACTCTTCAGTTTGCTACGTTCCCTCTGGTTATTTAGAGATGTAAAACTGAACTGGTTTGGTGGTTTTGATTTTTCTACTCAACATCAGGCTCTGGTCCTTGAATTTAGTCCAGGATGCAAGCAAATGAGGTTGCTCTTCATGAAAGCTACAAGTGTATGAGTTAAAAACAGTATTTTGCAGTGGAGATGTGTCATCGCTGTGATCCTATACACTTAGGGAGCAACTCTTATATTATGTAAGGCTGAGCTTTTAGGTTATTAATCCCTGTTCATCCATTTTGTGGACTTCTTACTGTGCAGTGTGCATCTTAATATTCTCATGACCTGATTTAATAAGAAGGACAAAAATCCAATGTTCATTCTTACAGGCTAGACCATAACTATGCTTCTGAAATCACTTGTCTAGAAAGATGAATTTTAAAAAATGTTTATACATACATTTTCTTATCCTGAGAAGCTTTTGAGAGTTGTTGAATGCAGTTTGGGTCAAATGCATAATTTAATTCACCATTATGTTGCATAGATGAATTTATGTCCAGGTGTTTTAGAAACACTGGCAATCTTTTGAGGTTTATATTGATGAAGTATATTCTTATATACAGGCATATGTGCATATATATTTAATGAAGAGATTTTCATCCAATAAATGCAGAGTATATATGGATAAACCATGCACATAAATGATGTACAGTAAGAAGTGATATGGCTTAAATACAGATAATTCTGTACTAAATTCTTCCCCCTTTCATTCTGCTTCTCACATCACAAGTGAATGTGTCCCTCTGCTTCAGCTTGCAATAGTAGGTCTAGTTGTTACTTACATGTGGTTTGCACTGGGTTAAATGACATTAGGCTTCCTTACACAGCTATACATACACAGACAAAAAGACAGTGCTTTTACATTAATGTGTGATCTGGCCCAGTGCATTGACAGCGAGTTTCGTTTTTTAATAAAGCTTTAATTTTCTGCTGTCTTAAAGCC